CGCCATCTGTCGCCACCATCAAAAGAGGCAGTTGGAGTGACGCGATTGTTTTGTTTGACTCGCATTTTTAAAGAAGATGTTCAAGGCCTTTAGGTTGTCCAATAACCGGGCTGAAACTAAAGGCGAGGTTTTTTCGAAAAAGGTTCTATGGAGCCACCACCGATGTTTTTATCGTAAACATCGAAAAAGGAAGAAAAAGGCGTTGGTTTTAGAAAACCAACTTTGGCCATTACAACCAGAGTTGGGTAAGGGAGTTAGTTACGTGTGGGAAAGGTGTTAGCACCCACAACACCCCGTTCGGGTTCCCTATGATGGACTAGTTTATAAAATAAAGACTAAAAAACTATGTTTTTACCCTATTTATTTAGCTACTTGCAGAATTTAAATGTCTACATGGCCCTAATATCTAATGCATACAAGGAAAGTGATAAAGGAAAGAGTAAAAGAGAGAGAATAAGGAAAAGAACCTCTGAAGCGAGCTTTTTTATTAACTCTTCAAAACTTGAGGAAGTTTTTTAGCTATTCCCGTACTCTACAAGCACGCTCCTCTCCTGCAATAAAATAAACTACCCTTCTACCGAGTGTCGGATGTCTCAAAATGAGACCTCCTTAACCGATTTCTACTTTAAACGAAAATCGGAAGGCTCTCAAACTCTGGAAAGTGCTCAGAGTTATCCTGAAGTCTTAAGAGAGCTTCTAGGATGAGAGAAGGGGTGAAAAATTGTGTGAATTGTGTGAAATGAGGGGGAGAGACTCCTATTTATAGGAATCCGTGCCAGACAGGATGGGACGGCCGTTTGAGCTTCTGATAGGTGAGACAACCGTCTCGTCCCTAAGAGAAGGTGAGACGACCGTGTAGGAAAGCGAGACGGCTGTCTCGACCTTTAGGATGGCGAGACGGCCATCTGGCCAAACGGGACGGCCATCTCGGGCCTCTTGACAGATTTTCCTATTTTTCCTATTTTTTCTTTACAGAAAGTCCTCCTATCCTTAGATGGAGCCTAGTGAGCATGTCTAGATGCCTAAAGAAGCCTTGTCCATCTTTGAACGGTGGTTTTCTGGTCTTTATTGCGAGGCCGGGCAAGATTTGGGGTCTACAGTTGTAAGAAGTGCAGGCAAGGGACTCTTTGAATGTACGTCCTATGCGAAAAAGGCATCCATAATGGCATGATCCACCGTATCGAAGTGAAAGGGAAATAACATGGTCCCAAACACAATCAAAGTTAGGGTTTTGTTAAAGAAAGACTAATCCACCCTATCAGCCAAAGATGACAAATGGTCTTCTAGCAATGCAACCTTCCATTCTTGGATATTCCCTTTTCAACAGTAAGTTTTCTAAAACTTCTTGAGGGAATTTAATCGATTATTTCAAAGATATATTAGTTAAAGTTCTGACAATAGGTTTTCTAAAACTTCCTAAGTGAATTTAATCGATTATTTCGAATATATATCAGTTAAAATTTTGATAAAAGGTTTTCTAAAACCTCTTAAGTAAATTTAATTGATTATTTCAAAAATGTATCCATTAAAATTTGCGACAGAAAGTGTTCTTAAGTTGTTTAAGTGATTTTAATCGATTATTTCAAAAATGTATCAATTAAAATTGTGACAGAAAGTGTTTTCAAGTTTCCTAAGTGATTTTAATCAATTATTTTAAAAACATATTAGTTAAAACTGCGACTGATGAACATATTAATCGATTAAAACAATTTTTAACAGATTAAAAATACTTGAGGCACTCTATACTTTGTAAAAGACAAAAAGTCATGCTATAGGAGAGGGTAGATGCTTATACCTACTCAAAGTAGTTGCATACTCACTAATGGACTAACACAACATCATCTATTTAATAACTTCTTTTGACTTCATCAAATCTTCTAGTTAAGACTTCCAAGATTCTTCTTATTAGCTTCTTCATCACATATAACTCATCAACTCATCAAGTAATTCATCCACACTTGGGATGGGAAACATGTCCTTCATAGTAATGATGTACAAAGGCCTTTAGTCAGCGCAAATGCGCATTTTCAACATTTTTCCTTACCAGAAGAATATGTGAAGAGAATGGACTTGTGCTCAAAACTATGATACCTTTAATTAACATATCTTGTACCATCTTTTCAATTTTCTCTTTTTGATTGTGGGGATATTTATAGGGACATTCTTTAACCAAAATACTACCAAGAATTAGAGGAATTATATGATTATGGCTGCAGTCAGGAGTTAAACTCATGGGATTATCAAATATCTTCTTATAGGTATATAATATAATGTCAAATTAAAATGAATATATGTAGGAAAATCTAAACGTTGGTCTTGAGGGACATCAAGAAATTAAAACTATAGGATATACATTCAATAATTGAATGATTTTGGTGCATGTGTATGATATGATGAAAATGATCTTGACTCAGCAGTTTAGATTTATCACCATATAAAGTCACAAATTCTCATTCCAAGTAGAACTTTAGAGTTAAAGCATTGTAAACTGAGACATGAGGTCTTAAGATAGCTAGCTATGTGGCCCCTAAAACTAAAATTGCACTCGACATTTGTAGTAAATAAATTAACAATATCAATGTATGATCTTGTACAATAACCTTGAGTTTCTTGACCAAACCTTCTACCAACAAGGCATTTCCATTTCCAACCAACACATGGAAACTAAGAATTGTTCAATCGGTAATTTGAGATAATTAGAAATGTGTGGTTGCAAAAAATTATCTAAGCTACCATTGCCCAATAGGATTTGAATAGTGACCCCATTTATTGAGACTTGAAATCACATAGTCTTAAATCCCAAGGCTCCTTTTAGTGCATTAAATGAAAGATGATTGTCATGATCTACCATAACATCATCTAAGAAATTTAAGGCTGGTAGATAAGGGGTTTCAGAAACTAAGGGTGGTTCATCAAGGTCCTCCATATGAAGTAGCAAGTATTGTTTATTTGGAGATTGGTGGGTAGATGAAAAATTTCATCACACATGTATCAAAACAATTTCGCTCGACATAATTGTAGTCATTGTTTTGACATTATTGGGTTTTAAAGGTTAATTAAATGGTTTTTGGTTTGAAGTGGGCAAAGGAGTAGTGGTGGAAGTGATTTTCTGTTTTGTAGTCGAGTTTGTGGAAAGGTTTTTGAGATAGGTGGGGTAAGGTTTGGTAGGGACAATGTATTTTTTCTCATAAAGTTATGCCAAGACACAACCTTAAGAAGAGTGTTAGGAGTTTGAGCTAGAATTTTGTACCAAATATCTATTTTCAGCCCACTAATAAAATAATCTAATAATACATCAACTATGATTCCTGCAACTCTGTTAGTTAATGTAGTAGATTCAACATAATAATTATTCATGACACCTACTTGTGTTAGCTTAAACAGGGTAGCACAGGGACATAAAAAAAGGTGAAGGGCCAAACTCAAGTTCTAACACTGGAGTAAAACCAGGCCAGGATTGGAAAAGATTATTCTTAGTCATCATTTGGAACCAAGGCAACATCATCTTCCAAATAAATTGCAACAATTGTTAATAGTTAAACATCAAGGGTAGAATAATGCTAAGAAAACCTTTGAACATCAAATTTGGGGAAAACCTATTTGATGTTTCATACTTGGAATGAAATCGATTGTGTTATGTCGTTAATCATAAGGGTCAAACTCAAGTTCTAACACTGGAGTAAAACCAGGCTAGGATTGGAAAATATTGTTCTTAGTCATCATTTGGAACCAAGGCAACATCATCTTCCAAAGAAATTGCAAAAATTGTTAATAGTTAAACATCAAGGGTAGAATAATGCTAAGAAAACCTTTGAACATCAAATTTGGGGAAAACCTATTTGATGTTTCATACTTGGAATGAAATCGATTGTGTTATGTTGTTAATCATAGTTGAGTTTTATCCATCATTTGAGTGAGAAATAGTCATATCTACAAGCATATACTCCTTTACAAGGACCACTCTTAAACTGTCGGTCACCACACCACACAAACTCTCAACTCTGATACCACTATTGGGTCTTTTAAGGAGAGATTCACTAGAGAGGAACAACACCAATGAGACATGAGCTCAACCCACATAAAAAACCTTAAGGAATTGGGTTATGGATCTTTCTTTCTTATATGTTTCTCAACTTTCTCATTTTTATTCAATGTGAGATGTAGACTCACATTTGGATTACTCAACAATTCTCAGCCATGGTAGCAATGAAATCACCAAATGTAATGTTATAAAATTTTTGAACGAAATTAAATGCAATAATTAATGAATGAAGTTTGAAAATTCTTCCAATGAGGAAGTCTATTACAATGAAGTAATAGTGGATATAAAAATAAACATGTAATGACGGGAAAAAGTAGTTGACAAAATAGAAAAAATCCCAAATTGAGCTAGAGGGAGAAGAATAACAAACACTTATTCCACACCTACTCTTAATACAAATTGCCTATTTATATTCCCACATTTGAGTGGTAAGGTCATTGTTCTTTTTCTCTCACTTTTGCTAATCACCTTGTTTCCGTTCCATTTGTCATGCATCCCTTTTTCTATTTGTGTTGGTGCATAATGTTTTGATGCTGGAAGACAAAGGGTAAAGGAAGATAAAAAAAAATATTAATGCTAAAACTCAACTTTTCTCGTTGTCTTTATTTTATGAGAAGAGAAGTGTTATAAAGACTTTCTTTAAATAAAGTTGAATAGGTTGCTATAAAATGTAATAGAAAGCTATGAAATGTAACAAAAAATATTCTTCCTAACCAATGACAACTCATAAAAATTTAGATAAAATCTTTGAATTTCATGGGTCTGTTGATAATGCGAGTGGGCCTTTGTGTTAACAAGTCTTGGGTCTTGTAGAGTAATCTTGTTCTCAAGGTTTGGGATAATGGGTTAAGTTTGTGAAAGAATGGGTTGAGTCACAAGGTTTGGGATAGTGTACTGAGTTTGTGAAGGAATGGGTTATGAGATAGTATTGTTTGTGGCTAGAGGGTTGGTGACATACTCGTCTGTAGGAAGATGTGGTGTGAGGTTGAGTAAGTGAGGGGTTGGCGAGAGGTAGTTTGTGAGATACACCATCAGTGGGGCCTATGTGAGAAGGGTGATAGGCTTGAGACATGTGTATGGGTAGAGAGGAAGGAGAAAGTATGGATAATGTGGTCAAATAATAAAAGGGAGTAGGTGTGAGAGATGACCGCATGTTGGGATGTGAATGGATATGAAGAGATGACTGGATGCTCACAAGTAATGACAATTGCGTATGTTGAAAAAGGATGTGAAGTTAATATGATGTAGGGTTGGGAAAGTGGTTGAGTTTTAGAAGAAAAGAAATTCATGGGAGTAATGTCGGATGCTTACAAGTAATGACAATGCATATGTTGAAAAAGGATGTGAAGTGTTTAAGTGGGAAGTTAATATACTTAGGGTTGGGAAAGTGGTTTAGTTTCAAAAGAAAAGAAAGTTATGGGATTAGTGTCGGTACTTGTGAAGGGAGTGAAATTTTTAGGAGGGGGAGAAACTATCTTTAGTGGGATCAAGTAATGAAATGGGAGAAGGAAGGAGATGTGAAATACAGGGTGAATGCAAGATTGTATGGGTAGATCTAATTTGTACGCAATTATCCAACTCAACGAAGAACTTTGAAAGGCCCATAAAACTTGGGAATGAGCTTTTGAGAAAGGTCGTCAAGTGATTGAAACTTGACAATGAGATGCAACAAAGGAGGACCCAGTCACCAACATTGAAAGTGTGGTGACAACGAGATTTGTTAGTTTGTGTTGCCATGCTTTGCGAGTGTGCTCAAGAGTGATTTTTAGTTGATGTGGCAGTTTTGTACATTATGGAAGGATGCATCCAAGGAGGTGATGTTGGTGGCTCCCGTGGACGTAGTTTGGTATGCTGAGAGGAGGATGAGAGGAGGATGACCATAAAGGGCATGGAAGGGTGTTGTTTTGATGGTAGAGTGGTAAGAGGAGTTATACCAAAACTTAGCTAAATGCAAGAATTTGTACCATGAATGGGAGTGCTTGTTGGCAAAACACCTCAAGTAAGCTTTAATACTTTGGTTGAAAAGTTTTGATTGATAGTCTCTCTATGGATAATATGTTATGCTAAATTTTGCATTCTTTGAAGCCAAAAGAGTGTGTGCCAGAACTGAGTAAGGAATAGTGGATCATAATAAGAGATGAATGATTTTGGAACATCATGTAACTTGCAAATATCAACAGAAAAACATTGAGCTAAAGTGGCCATGGTGAAGGAAGTTGGCAGAGCTAGGAAATGAGTTGATTTAGCTAATTTGTCACAAACAACCCATATAATAGTGTGAATGAAAGATGAAGGTAAATGTGTGATGAAATTTGTGCTTAGGTCATCCCAAACTTGGTGTGATGATAGAAGCAAGGTTCTCCTCTGTCAAATTGGACCGAAGCAAATCTCCATCTACACAAGAGCACATGGTCAAAATCCCTTAACCAAGTCCCAAAAAGGAGATTAAGGCATTTCAACCCCACGTAAGGAAGGATCCTTGAAGGGAGAGGTAGGAGAAAATATTCCAAGAAGAGAACTCAAGGTAAAGAAAATGGGACAAGCAAATATGCAAGTCAACATCTCACTCTTCATTCCAAAATTGGAGAGAATACAAGTATGAGAGCTCTCTATTTATAGATGTTTTTTCCCTCCTCACTTTCTAACCTAGAAGATGTGGGACTAATTCTCCTTTCTACAACAGACACTAAAATCCCCTTTAATCCTAGGTTCAAGTCTCACCTTGCCCAGTTTTAATTACATTTAAAGGTTTATAAACTCTAATTTTCTAAAATTTTGCAACCAAGAGTTGAAGCTTGGACCTTCTTGCATGTGAGAAGCTCTTGACCGATAATGAGAAGGAAAAAATATATATGTGAGACTTCTTTGAGTTTGCCCTTCCTAAATCCCACATAGCTTAGAATAAGCTTGTTTCAAGTATTTATATACGCGAGACTTCTTTAAAGTTTTCAACCAAGTGGTGAATCTTGGCTTTTCAAGTGAGGAGTGTCGTGAGTCTTTGTTATCTTGCCCAAGTATTGGCTTCTTAAATAAAGAAAAAGAATTTTTAGAAGTGTATACAATTTTTCTAAAGCTAAGGTATTGAAGAGAGGTGTTAAAAGAATTTTTGTTCAAGTGAAAGAGAACTATTGAAAAAACTTTCTCTCCTTCAATCCTTTTAGCCATGGACTCTAATTAAAAGCCCAATAGATTGTGGGATTCTAATAGAGGCCATTAAGTTGTTCCCTAGATGGTTCTCCATCATGTTGGGGTGAGGAGTGGTTATACATGGCTAGCCAATAAAAGGAAGTGACTAATCTGGCCAGAGTGGCCTTTATACCTGACCACCAATGGGGGTGGCATGATATTTGATCAAGATTTGCTGGAGAAAATTTGAGAAATAAGGAAGATACACGATGGTGAGGATAAAGAAGGCCATTGTGAAAGGAATATGGGGATGATCGTAAGGTTGTGCATTCTTATACAAATTTCTTTCCTTATGGTATTGCTTAATAATGTTGTAGGTCTTAAAAGATGGAAGGAATTGGGGATGAGATGGCAAAAAGGAGTGGAGGTGGTGATGATGGTCTAGAGATGGCATTCGTTGCTTGTTTATGGCATCCTGGTTTGTAACATATGCCAAAACTGAAACATAATAGGTTGGTGGCCTAACGAGTTGTTTTGATGTATGAAAGTAGAGGTAAGAAGGCTTTTTAGGCTCTGTTGGTATGTTAATATTTTGAAATGATTTCCAATCAGATATTGATCCCATTTTTTTTTTGCTTTTATGATTGCAAATGTTTCTTGGACATAGATAGATGTTGTCTGCATTAGAGAATATAACTTCTTGCTGAAGAAGGAAAATGGGTGCCCTTGTTGAGAGAGGATTGCACCTTTGGCCGTACTTGAGGCATTTGTTTTGATGACAAAAGAAGAAGAAAAGTCTAGAACAAACAACAATTATGTCATCAATGTAGCTTTAAGTGTCGTAAATGCCTTGTGTACTTGTTCTAGCCATGTAAACTTTTGTAACTTAATTATTTGCGTGAGTGGAGAGGCAAGAGTGGTATAACCATGGATAAACTTTTAATAAAATCTAGAGAGCCCTAAAAATCCACGAAGGATGGTCAGTGAATGAGGTTGGGACCAATCGCGAATAGCTTGGATCTTGTCAGGATTCAAGAAAATTGTGCCATGGGAAATAACATGACCTAAATAAGTCATTATAGTCACACCAAAAACACATTTATATTGCTTAATAAAAAATTGGTTATCTTACAATAACTAAAAGATAGTGTGGAGGTGTCCTAAATGTGCCTCCATTGATTCATTGTAAATAAGGATACAATAAAAAAAATTGAACATGAATTTGAAAAGGTGTGGCTTGAGTAAGTCATTCATTGTTTCCTGAAATGTTGAAAAAGCATTAGACAACTCAAATGACATGACCAGAAACTTGTAATGGCCATCAAAAAAACATAAAATCGTCTTTTGAACATCTTTGGCACCACAAACAAAGGTCCAACTTAGTAAATACTCGAGCCTTAACATGAAATAATTCTTCAATGGTAGAGATAGGAAAATGGTCTTTGATTGTAAAAGCATTTAACACACAATAATCTACCCAAAAATGAAAAAGTACCATATTTCTTTTTTATCAAAATCAACGGGAATGAGAATGGGTTAGTGTTACGATGAATTATCCCTTCATCAACCATTATGCTAATCAATGTAATCATTATTTCTTTATGAGAATAGGGGTAACGATATGGTTTTATATTAGTAGGGGTGGCTTTGGGCAAGAGGAGAATATGATGGTTGTGAGGGTGGTTAGGAGGAAGGTCTGTAGGTTTGGCAAATATTTGGTATTAGATAAAATGGTATTATAAAATATGTGGTTTAGATTGTTAAGGAAACATTTGGGCAAAGGGAAGAATAGTGTATGTGTTGGCCATTTCCAACCATAACTGTAAAAGGAGAAGGAGGGACTGAACGAAGTTGGAGATGTGACACTATATGGGATTGGAGAATGTCATGGGAGTTGTCTGTATCAACCAATACAATAATAGGAAGATCTTGTAGAAACCCCCTCAAACTTAAAGGTGTGAAGTGAAGAGGTATCTACTAGAGCTTGGGAGGATAGGTTAAAATGGATGGCCTCCTCAAGTTTGATGATAATAGGACCTTTGGAAAATGGCAAAGGGTCTGAGTTAACAAAGTCATCCCCAAACAGAAAAAGAAAATGACTAGAGGTGTAATTGTGATTAGGGTAAAACTTTTTGTCACAGTTATAACAAAGACTTGCAATATGACATTCTTGTAATTGAGTTCGTGTGAGCCGTTTGATGGGTAGAGAATATTGTATAACAGGTGATGGTGTGGTTGCAGAAGGCAAGGCGTGTTTTGAGGTAGGAAGGAGATGGTATGATGGTTGTGGTAAAGGAGGATTATTTGGGCTTAAAATCTTGAATTTTGAATTCCACTAATTAGCAAGTCCCAAGGCTTGTGATATTATGGTTGGTTGAAAAGATCGCAAGTTCTCTGCATATATTTAGAATAAGACAAAAAAGAAAACAATCGAGTATCATTTGTGGTGTGAGATCCATAACCTTGTTGCACAATTTTCTGAAAGCAAATTGATAATCTACTATAGAGTCATGTTGGTGGAGCTTAAAAAGCTTAGCTTGGGGTTTGCAAAGGTTGATAGGCCAAAGTGAAGTTCTAAGGCCTGACTAAAAGATATCCAATATGTGAGTTGGTGGTTTTGATAAGCTTCGAAGAATCAATCTAAAGGTTCTACGCCATAAAAAAGATAGTGGTAGTTTTGGTGGTCAAAAATGGTGTGAAGGTGGGGGAGGGAAAGTAACAAAAGGTGAAAAGGTTGTGGATCTTGCATTAATGTAAACATTTTGGAAAAATGGAGAATCAAATGAAGAAGGGGACACAGGGGAGCAATAGTGGTGGGTTGGGAAGTGTTGTGGATAATGGTGGTGAAAGGGAGGAAATTGGGAAAAGGTGTTGTTTGTGGGAATGTGGTTCATAAGGGTGGTATTGATGGTGTCGTGGTTGGATTTCAAATGATGAATATCCATGGTAGTGTAGAAAGATTGATAATGGACATCTTGGGAATCTAATCCGGTTTGAAGGTTATTCAATTTTTCAAGAATAGATTGTAAGGTTTCTTCATTTTTTTAAGGTTTGGGACTAATGAAGTTAATCTTGTCGCCTAGATTTTATCAAACAATTTGCAATTAAAACAATGTTGTATTGGCCTAAGTCAAATCTTTAGGAGAATTGCTTGGTTTTGTTTCAAATCTTTCTTTTCAATGTCAAAAGCTAGGAAATATGGGGTTTTTGTGTAATTTTAGATGTAAAAAGGTAAATTGAAAAGAGTACACCTATACTATGAAAAGCAGTAAATGAAAGCATGTAAAAGAAAACAATAAATCTAAACTATGAAAGCATTTTAAAGAAAGCATTCTAAATGAAAATAGTAAAGAAAGTTTGTAAATCTAATCTATGAAAGTTGTAGATTAAGAATAGTGAAGAATGTGTTGATTCTCCAATCATAAACTTGTTTTAATGATTATCATTGATTTCTATGGAATTGTCTTGCAATCACAAAAACAAATCCACAACAATTTCAATAAATTGCAATTAAATTGAAATTCATATTCACAAATCAATACCTAAATCAACCAATCACTTAAACTTAGAAGTTGAATTGTGATGTAAAAGAGACATTCAATAAATAACCTCAATTACATTGATTGTAATTGATTATAATCGGTTAGAATCATTAAGAATCAAATCTAAACCATACATAGTATTCAAGTTTTAATAAGTGAATCAACAACAAAAATGAATTAGAACATTATTAATAATTGAAACACAAAGAATAGTATGAAAATAATAAAGAATTGAGTGGAAGAAGATGTAGAAGATGAAACAGAAAGTAAAAACAAATAATTAAGAGAAATGGGAACAAATCTGATCAAGGAGAACTTGGCTTGATAAACTTTATTCCATTATTCGTACAAGAACTCCATGAACAAACTTGGAAGTTAAGCATCACTAAAAACTAGAGAAGCTTGTAAATGAACTTGTGAACTTAACTTATGTTTCTACACCTTCGAAGTTCTATTTATACAACAATAAATGTATATGAAGCGTTCAAGGCCAATTTCTAGGCCCATTCGAGACCCATAAATACAAAATAGAACTTAATACAACATTCTATAAAAACTTATATTCGACTCATCAACTCAACAGTTTCTCATTTGCTCAACGAATTTGTAGTTAAATTAGTTACACGTGCTCTGTAACACCCATTTCGAGATGCCACGTGTAATTTTTTTTTTTCACAATTATTTTATCTCAAATAACACTTGATAAAAGATTTATCCAAAACCTCTTTATTTGTCAAAATAAAATCTTGTTCATCCAAACAACTAACTTAAACCATCAAAATGAGACTTAATATCAAATCTTTCTAGTGAAAACTCAAAATCACTACACTATTACATTCTATTCAAAAGAACATTTTCAAATATTTTAAAAAAACTGCCAAAAAGCTTCCCCGCGAGCTCCTCACCACTAAGCTTCTCTAACAATATCTGCATCAACATCTACTCCCGCATAACACAAGTCATACGATCATCGCAGGTGGAAACCAACACCACAAACATGCAAGGGTGAACAAAACATGTATCTCATCACTTATCATTCATGTCATCATATAATCCACCTAGCATTATCATAATGTAACAAAACTCATTCATAATATTCACAACTACATATTTTGAACACTACAACACTAACACTTTATCATATTATCACCAAGTAAAAACAAACGGTATAAATTTATCTCATAGCCAACCCCTATACTTTTCCTATGCACCAACGCCTCTTGGAAAAGTCCCTATCATATTACTACAAAGTAAAAATATACGGTATAAAATTCTCTCATAACCAACCCCCATACTTTTCCTACACACCAATGCCTCTTGGAAAAGTTCGTTCCCCTGCTTTTCATAGACTTACTAGCAACAACTCCACCCGCTCGACAAAGCCTTGGATGGAGCACTCTTGCTAAGCTCATGCTAAAAACTTACAGAGGAACGAAACCCCTTTACCATGACTCGACAAAGTCCTCTAGGTAAAGAAATCATTTTGGCTTTACGGCTATCAAAGAAATCATATTGTTCCCTCACCTATATACACACATATGCATACAACATCTCATTGCAGATCAAACATACCTAAACTCATCATGTAATTACATCATATCACAATTCAAGTATTTTTTTCTTACATTTAATGGTTTTAACATATAACTCCCACAAATTCTGCACCAAAATAACATAGACAGCAACAACAATAAAATAAAATAGTAGCAACAGTAGCAACATGAAATGAAAACAACAATAACATCATTTTGAAGATTCCACTACCAGAGCAATACTCAAAGATATATTTTTATAAAATAAAATAATGGTCATAAAATTACGAAATTAAATATAATTAACACATACATAAAGTCACAACTATGATAAAATTTCATCTCAAAACAGTTCAATCTTGATTTTATATGATTTTTCGAAGTTGTTGGGCAGACATAGTAACTCTGTTTCGCTCAACTCAAAACCTAATCACTTCCAAGATTTTTCATGGAAAAACTACTTGTTAGAAAATTTTGAAATAAATCACACATGAACTAGACATATGAAGGAACATATAACCAAAATTTTAGAATTTAAAACCAAGTAGATATGTTTATATAATTTCCCAAAGATTCTGTTTACATGCAGATTTTTCCAGCAACACCTCTCAACACATTTTTCATCATCTTCCTCTAGAAAAATCCAATTTAAGTGATTTTTATGGCTAACTCTAGGTTTTGGCATCCAAGGAATCTATTTCTAAACTCTAAAATATGAAAGTAGCATTGTAGAGTATCCAAAATACACTAGAATAGCCATACGAATTTTTTATCAAATATTTTTGTTTGGTTCCAATTCATGTAGGAATGAGATAAATAGTGGTTTAGCCTAGGATTGATGGCAAGAAGACTCTCTTCACAATTTCATGTTGACAATTCAAGAAATCAACCGGTTAAAAAAATAAGAAACAAGTTTTGGCACCCCTCTACAGTCCCTCCTTTCTCTGATCCAAGCCCTTCCTCTCCCAATTTCCAACTCTCTTTGGCTCCCAATCCACATTGCCTCTCACCAACTCTGTAGTACCCACTTATTCTCTTAATTAATTTGGTGCCTGTGTACATATTCAATGTATCTGCCTCAACTGTTCACCTCCAAAGGTACACCACTCGAATTTAAGAAAAAATATATTATTATTACCTCATTTTTTACTCTAGTCAGGATTTGAACTCACAACCCCCAAAACTCAAGCATTACTCCAAACCATAACAAACATCATATGTTTCTTGTCAATCCATACACATAGCAAAAATTACAATGTACCCACATACACAATGCATACAAGAAAACAACCATCAACCAATACTTTCTAAATGTGGCAATTAAAATTTGCTAATTCCCTAAGCATACTCAACGTTCAGGCACACACATGAGTATTTTCTAAATAATTATAAAATAATAGAAAAATTATAATTATCCTAATGCACATACAAGAATCAAACCCATGACCCCTAAAACTCAATCTACCACAAGAACCAAAATTCCAGTCCTTACACCTAAACCTTCACCAAGAACCAATTTCCAGTTCTTGACCAACCCTGCAGCCAAATTCTAGCCAGAGAAACTAGTGCCCACACTTCCAGGTACTCACAATATAGAAAAGAAAAGTAAAGAAACAAAGAGAAGAAACTAGAACACCCAAACCAGGTTTATGCAGCTCTGCAGAATGAGTTTCTTCACCAAAAGAATGCAAATATTGCCTCAAGAAAGAACTTCTAAGAACTTCACAAAACTAGCATGATTCTCTCTTGAAAGTAGCACTTATGATTGCTTGATTGATTGCCAAAAGATGTGATTTAAAATGTTCAAGCAACTCTGTTTATATAGAAGATTTTCCAAACCGTCGGTTTATTTAATCTGTTAAAATAATCTTTTAATCTGTTAAAAGTCTTATTTTAATCTGTTAAAACTTCTTTTAATCTATTAAAATGTTCTTGATTATTTTCCAAATTTGTTTTAACTGATACGACAACGTTTATATCAATAAAAACCCTTTGTAAAAAATCTTTCAAAATGTTTTAATCGATTGTTTCATCTTTTAATCGATTAAAATACTGCTAAAGGTTTTCATAAAACTTTCTAAGTGATTTTAACTGATAACAATATGTTTTAATTGATTAAAACACTTTGGAAAAAATTCACTTAGTTATTTTAATCGATTGAAACGCATTTTAATCGATTAGAATTTTGCCAAAAGATTTCATAAAACTTTCTAAGTTATTTTAACTGATAACATACTTGTTTTAATCAATTAAAACATTCTGGAAAAACCTCTTAGTTGTTTAATCGATTATTTCGCATTTGTATCGATTAAAATACTAATAGAACAACTTTCAAAACACTTCAAGTCATTTTAATCGATTATTTCGAGTTCTTATCGATTAAAATTCTGCCAGAATACTTTTCAAAATATTCTAAGTCATTTTAATCGATTATATCAATTCTATATCAGTTAAAATACTGGCAGAAGGTTTTCAAAAATCCTTCTAATGAAAACAATCGATTATTTCGAAAACATATCAGTTAAACACCTGTTACAAAAGTGTTAAGAACATTTTAGTTGATAAAACTCATATATTATTAGTTAAAATAGTTACTTAAAAACCTTTTAACAAAATACTTTGTTTTTATCAGTTTAAACACGTTTTAGAGGCATTTGCAAAATCTTTTAAATGAAGAAACCTCATGCAGTAGAGAGATAAAAATGATTATACCTAAGTAAAGATGCAGACTCACTAATCACACTACCCTTTTATCTAAGTGACCTTTGACTGCAACAAAGTAGCCTTTGACTTCATCAAATCAACAAGATCTTTGCTTAAGTAATTCAATAAGATCTTCATCACTTTCAGATACTGACGAATTAAATATTAAAATTCTAAAATCATTGGACAGGAAATGACAACCTGAGGTGA